TCTCACGATGGCGTTTACTTCTCCTCTTTATCGCAGGGCACCAGAGATTTCGCTGGACACGAATAAAAATCAAAGTGAGGAGTATAACTCAGCACTAGGACCAGGGCAACCTCTTCTCTCGAGTACAGAAAGCAGACATCCACCAAACTATAACGTTTAAGAGACTTAAAAGCAGTAGCAGTTAGACTTGCGTTTTATCATTACACTTGTAGAGGAAGAGGCCAAAACTAAGATGTTGTGTTTCAAGGATACGCGTGGACAGCATCCATTTGCAAAGTGATTACAGTTCATCCGAAATAAAAGGACAAGATCTGATTTTATAGCATGTTTTACATGACATCAAAGCAGTAAGGCTAGGTTAACAAGCAGATAAAGTAAATTTAAAAAAAAGCTGAACAAAAAATATGATTATAAAGTGCATAAGCAAATACGACTGAAAGAGCTGGTGCGGATGAGTTTGCGGTCGATTGAAAAATGTGCAATTTAATAGTATTTTCAATAGTATAAACAAATTAACAAATGTTTGTTCATTTTTGGCTTTATCAACGTCATGAAGCCTGGATTCCGCAAATTGCCTTCATCTTTTCTCTTATTCATATACATATCATTATGGCAAAACAGAAAAACATGATTTATTCCTAACAGAAAGACAAAACTGATTTGTTACCCTTAAATAACCCCGTGTGTCTTTGACAACTTATCAGCATCATCGAAATGTCTTATCATTATTATATCTGACATAGGATCAAGCCGTAAGAAAAACAAAAGGATTTCCTTTAGAAAAATAATGCCGAAGATTTCGTTGAAAAAAAGTGCATGGAAAGAATATGACCATCAATACATTTAAGGACTTCATCAACGAACAAGTCCTTTAGATCACTGGACACTTTGGATGCTGCTGGTGAGTTGAGCCAGGTGCCTGTTTTGACGAAAATAGACGTATTTTTAAGCTTTTCCCGGTGAAATGGCATCTTGTGTTTCTTACGGCTTCATCCTTAGACAAATCCGGTCAGCAAAAGACATTTAGATGCTGCTGATAAGTTGTCATAGACACCCAGGCTCACTCAAATCTCAAATGAGCCTTGTCTCTGTTTTGGGAATAAGACGTACTTTTATATTTTACCGAAATTGTATCTTCTGAGTTCAACAGTGATGCAACAAATTTGTGCAAGTTGATCTTTGTGACGTAGATAAAGCCGAAAAGGGATAAACTTCATTTGTTCCACCTTATTACTGAACATTCTATGAAGAGCCCAGGAGTTTTAAGATCATGACGCAACTTACTTAACATATTGCAATCTTGCAACCGTAGAATATTTTCCCGAGGCCGATATCTTATCCGGCAGAGAAGAGTAAAAACCATTTCTCTCAAAATCAGTGAGAGAGTTTTCCTGGAGAATAATGCGCTTTGAATAATCACCTGCCAGTTCTTCAAAAATGAGTTCTTCCAGTATTTCTTATCCGATTTTGGAAGATAGTGATATGTCAAGCATTTCCAAATATTTCGATTCATCTTGTCCAAACTCACTTTATCGAAAACGAAATGTGGTTAAGATTGGATTCTGCAAAATTCGTCTGTACTGGGCAAATTTGTTATTCGCTTTTGTCGCCATAGCCGGCAAAGTTGTAGAGAAGGTTTCCCTTCCGCTCTGGATCGACTCCGTAAATGGAAATCGTCCGGGAAAGTCAGTCGACAGTTACTTTGTGCTGTCTTTTACGAGTTTGTCTTTTGTCATAATATTTGGACTGGGAACGTTGTTTATTAAAATTTTTTCGCCTCAAGCTCTCGGCGAAACGGAAAAACGTTTTCCACACCTTCTGCTCTTCTCAGTTGGCCTCTGTCACGCTTTGAGTGGAGCTCTGGTTGTATTCGCAAGCAAAGGGTCAAGAACACCGCCATACCTTCAAGCGATTCTTGGAAACTTTATGATCCCTTGGACTATTCTATTCAGGTGAGTGGACTCTAAACAGCATAAGATGTTATTCAGCAAATAACACAGGCATACTCGGATATAAGAAGTTGGAGAGTTGCTCATACTACGACACTCAGATTAGAACTTCGGATGCTCTGTCACTGAGCTTCAAGTAGTCCTTAGGTCCTTGGTGACAAACTGCATATTGCTCAGTAGGATAGGAATGTTTGGATACTACTTCGTATGATACTTTCATTAGATTTTTCTTTCAAAAAGTTCTTTCTGTATGCCAGCAGATCAACATGGAAATAAGTCATCATGTTCCCTTATGCTGACTTGCGGGATCGTCAAAATACGTCTCAACTCGTAAA